GTGCACGATCCCACTAGAGAGAGAGAGAGAGGGAAAAAAGAAGAAAAGAAAATCTGGGGGTCGACCTTATTTATACTCCATGGCAGTTGAGGGCGGTGATGTTTCTGTCTATACAAGTCACCGCTGAAGCCACCGCTGAAGATCCAAGTCTATAGTTCGGTAGATTGTGGCGTTCGTTCCAGAGTAGATTCACGAAATATACCACGCCGCCTCCGACAGTCCCAAGTGGTTCCAAGGCTAGCAACTGTAAATCTTACTAACACCGACATCGAAGAGTTTTATCAACTAGCTATCAACTAGCTATCAAGGGCCATCAATACAAGATATGATGAGTATCTATAACAGACTAATGGGAATAATGTTAAGGTCTCGAGTCGGGTTTTCAGATCAACCTTTGTGCATGGACATGGACTTCTGTGGCACCGAGATATCTATAGCATATAGCTTACTGATGCATTACAAGATGCCATACTTCCATATATCTGGACTCGGAAAGCTGCGTAGATCGAAGATCGAAGGTCTCGACGAGGATCATACGTGGCGCGGGGACATCTAGCACTTCGACACTCTCCGGGTCGTTTTGATAAACGGCAAATTCCCAGAATCCACCGAGGTGCCCCGCAGAGAATTGGATGAGCGGCTCTAGGGAGTTGTATGCTCCATCTGGGAGATTGGCAATAATCGTCGATTGGATTTTGACATTATATAGATGCCAGATCTTGGCTGAAAGCTTGGCATGGGGACAGTGAGCTTTATTGGCTGATATCAGAGAATAGTGGATCTCCTATCCGCCAACCTCTCCCAAGTGATGGATTCAGCATTCAATTGTATGATTTTTGTTGATTTTCTAGTATGTATTCAGCACTTTAGTCTTATATACACTTCAATAAAAAGGGAAATATCGTGGAACTCGTCAATTGCATTAATGATGCCCTCACAAGAGGAACGTAATAGCTGCAGACATCTATGTCCCAGTCCCGGAAGCAAACCCAGGATCATTAGCCCCAGTATCCCTCCTCTCTCTGCGAACCTCCTTCTGCACAAAGCTCTCAGTCCCGGAGCCGGTAGCCGCTGCAGACGCAGCAGCCCTCCGTTTCGCCTTCTCCCTTTCCCTCTCCTTCTCCTTCTCCTTATCCCTAGCACTCGGACCAGCCGCCTTCCGCCGTTTAGGTAGTTCATAGACATCGTTGAAATTCATCACAACGCCCAGGAAACGCATATCCACGTCCGGCTGGTATGACAAATCGCCGAGGAGGACAGTCAGACGGGAACGGAACTCGGCGGAGAGTTCGCGGAGGCGGACACGAAGCGAGGCAAGCATGTTGTCGTCGGCGGCTAGATTGGGTCCAGATAATGAAAGCGGGGTGTTGACGCCGTCTACCCCAGCACTATCGGGTCGGATGTCCGGGGAGGCCATTGAGGTTCCAATCCGGGTGCTGGGTTGGCGGGAGAGGAGATCACGCTCTGTGAGACCCCATTGACCCTGGGCGGAGCGAGTCTCGATCTTGGCATTTATCTCCTGGCGGCGGGTGAATTCCGCAACGGAGAAAGAGTACAGACCGTCCACAGCGTCTTTGTAGGCAAGCATGAATTTGAGGATCTGGTGGAGCTGGCTGAGGAAGCTTTCTTCTGGTTGTTTGGCGGAGGTTGAGGTTGAGGTGCCGTAGCGCGAGGAGGATGCAGATCCTAGTAGACCCTTGTGGGTGATGGAGTTGAGGTATTTGGTGTGTGCTTCGATAAGGTCATCCAGCGTGCAGTCCGGTCTCCGGATGGCCTCGAGTAGTTGTTCCCAGCTGGACTCGATGACTTCGAACAGGATATAATATTGGAGCTGATTGACGAAGTGGATCATTTCGGCAATCACGCAGCGTGCTCGCTTCCAGTCTGCTCCGACTTTGTCTTCCACGTTGCCGAGCACTCCTCGTGCACCTGTCATGCACCGTCGCCAGGTGCTGTTCAGCGCGAACTCAACTCGCTTGATGCGCCAGAGGAAGTTGAATACTTTCAAGTATTGAGTTGATGCCCAGGGTGTGATGACCACGTCCACAGGAGCGTCGATTTTGTATTCCAATGTGAAGCAATCCCATCCGATTTCACCGTGGCTTAACTCAAGCATACGAGCATCAAGCCGACGCAACACTTCTGGGGTGTCGTATTGTGCATTGGAGGCACGGATAGCATGTTCCAGCTGTGCAGTTAGAGTATGTCGATATTGTGAATTTGCTGGGCGATCCAGATTCGTAGCAAGCGACTCCATGAGGAGAGCAATGAAGTCTCCTTGGCCCAGTAACAGGTAACTCTTCAGCGCTTTTAGGTGATCGAATAGGTTGAATTTCCCATTCATCAAGGAAATCAATCGAGCCATTGTGGTCTTATATGCCTCATCAATGGAGATCTCGAGAGTGGCGGTGTCGCCATATCGAAGCTCCTTGGAGGCTTTCTTTGAATAAGCTTCCACCCAAGCTGAATCACCGCAGCCATGGCGGATAAAGTTCAAGGATTTTCCAATCAGGAAAATCTTCTTTGCAAACTCCTGGGTGATGATTGAGGGTAACATGTCATCATCGAGCTTATATTTGTCCTCCCAGACGCTAGTTGCAAGCCGCCGGGGGTCAGTCTTCGGCCGGAACTCTGGATCAGCAACAAAGAATTCCTTGTATGGATCTGACAGTTCACCATCGTAAATCCATAGTCGTAGCATGTCGTAGAATGGGCGAGTCGCATGTGCAAGAAGTTTCTCAGCAAATGCGCACACGAAGGGATCTCCGTGGGATGTTGAAAAGCCGTGGATTAAAGAAATCAACTGGCCGCCCCTCTTGCCTGCGATACTTGTCAGCTACTAAGAAAATATAGTCATTTTTCTGTGCACTTACTCTGAGCCTCTTCCACAATCAAACTCATCAGTCGAAGGGCCATTGTAGCATCTCTTGTCCACACCACGCATCTCTTCAAGGTAACGCCACCCTTTCGTACACCCTGAGGCTCGGTTCCGTCTCCAATCGCGGCCAGCGCCTGTCGGATCTCCGCCTCTAGTGTAGCCACCAAGCTAAGATATGCGCGCAGCTCAACGGCAATGGCAGCTCGCAAGCTCTGGTTCACCAACCCCCCTTCTTCGCTCCCCACAAACACAGACAGGCCTTTATAGAGCAGACAAGGCTCCGCCAACGTATTAAGAAGTGAAGTAATTGGCGCAGACAGATTCGAGGGCAATTTCAAGCTCGACGAGGAACTAAATTGCAGATTCGACGAAGACAACCCTTGTAAGTTGAACGGAAGGTCGCGCAGGAGCCTATGCTCAACAGATCCAGACATTTTCGCCGGGCCCGATGGATTAGCACTCGAGGGCCGAGGCGAGGCAGCACGAACATCCTCATCGCCGGAACGGTCATTCACCCCAGCATCAACGCGGGTGGTTGGTATTTCAGTCGCGCTGCGCCCAGCCTGGTCTATACCATCACGATCGATATCATGTCGCAGCGAGCTCTGCCGCTCCATCTTCGGCGGTAGGACGCGTTGGTGTTGCTGCGAAGCTGACGAGCTAACAGCGGGGCCCTCATCCTCCGAGTCGATCATCGTACCCCGTCTTGGACGTGCACCGCCCTTCCCCAACATATTGTGCCAATGTGCCTCGTCCATCAACGGGCTTCGGCTTCGTTCCCCGCCCTCCACTGGCTCATCCGAGGCAGACAACTTGTAGAGCAAAAAGAGGATACCCCATTTCTGCGACAGCACAGGCTGCGTCAGGAGACGAGAGTAGAGATTGGAAAACCGAACTGCCTTATCCGGGCTGACATTTTCGCGACGCAGCTTGCGCTTAATCAGATCTGGCGCGTTGTTGATGCTCTCTGTCCCCGCGAGACTTCCGCGCCGTCCACCAAGCCCCGCTGGTGATCCTGGGTCTGGGGCGTTGGTGCTGGCATGGGTGTCGAGGATGCGCCAGGCACGCTCCATGAGGACATGGTGACGGCGGCTTTCGGCCGAGGCGAGGGCTTCCTCTGCGTCGGAGTAGTCTTCGTCTTGGATGGCGGAGATCGGGAGCGCGGGGGTTAGGCCGTCGACTAGCTGGGAGAGGGCGTCATCTAAGCGGCGCCCGCGCGCAGGGTTTCGAGCTGGATTTGACATCGTCTGCCCGGTGCCCTAGTGGGCGAATTGTTCGGTATCTTGTATCTGTTCGCTCGTGGTTGGCGTCTGTGGGTGCTTTGTTTGAGGAATTGCTGGGCAAGAGATCGCGGTCAGGCAGCGGGTTAGGGAAGAAGGTCGCAAATCAAGCCTGTTACTAGACTGTACAGTTTCAACACACGTCTGAGATGAACCTTCCAAATTGTATTTCAATGGACGTAACGCGGACTCAAGCTTGAAGCTTGAATGTTTGTGTTTGTGATGTTTGGCGTGTGTTGGTGCCAATTCCCTAAGGCATACATCCTTATCGTCCTATCGCTAGTTATCTGAGTTTGCCCTTACCCGATATATCATCCCTGTCATATAAAACTCCAAGGTTGTCGTTACAGCACACCCCGAGGTTAACAACTCCATATTCTCTCTTTATAATACAGGCCCTCTCTGATATCTTACAGGCATCTCCTCGGTGAGTTTCCCACAGCAATTAAATATCTACACATGAGCCCACCACGGTTTAAGACGACTGCAGGCCTTCACCGACCAATCATGGAATTATACATCATGGAATATGCGCGAGGAACTTGGGCCCTTCGGTCCGAATTCCAGTAATTGTTGAGCTCAGGCCCAGAAAATGTACAGTCAAAGTGCAGCCAAGGTGTACGCAACACTGCGGGCATGACTCGGGACATTTTAGAGCAGACCCGCTATAGTGACGTCCATGATCATACAGGATCTGTAGGATTTGGAGCCACCCTAGAGGCAACCCTAACAAAGCCTTAATTAATCATACTTTTTTTTGCTCTTTTCTTTATTCTTTTTGTGCTCTTCCCTTTCTCCTTCCATGTCTCTGTTTTAGTAAACTAAATGTACAATCTCCCAATATGGACACAGGCACATCTACCTATGCGACCGCGCGGCCATTTTTCAGAGCTCAAGGTAACGCAAAGCTCAAATTACTTGCTTTGTTCTTAGCCGTCTCGACCGTCCTCCTCCTCACACTATATTACGGGGGCCTATCAGAGGACATCTCACCTAGCACGAAAGACAAGCTTGCGAACGAGAAAGACTACTGGACATGGGAAACGAGCACTCGATTCCGGAAACCCAAGCATGGGAACGACAGCGATTACACTGGGAGTTCGCAAAATGCAACCTGTGACGCTTTCCCATCAGACATGCTATCGCGCATTCAGATTATCCTAAAAACCAGCGCAACCGAAGACCCGAAACGAGTCGACACACACATGGCCTCTGTGACCCGCTGCATCTCCAACTTATTAGTTATATCAGACAAAGAGACCGAGCTCCATGGCTATCGTGTGCACGACATTCTAGCCGATCTGCCCCCCTCGGCCTGGGATCAGACTCCGGAGTTCGAAGCGTACGAAGCACTACAACGCGGTGAGAGCAATATCGACGGCGCAGAAGGGTGGAAACTCGATCGATTCAAGTTCCTTCCCATGGTGGAACGTGCTAAGAAAGTGAACCCCGGCGCGGAGTGGTACGTCTTTCTGGAGACGGATACTTATTTCGTGTGGGATAACCTGTTCCGAATGCTGGAACGGTTCGACCCATCGTTCCCTCTGTATATGGGATCGCCTGCGCCAGGCCGCGATATCGGTGATGGAAAAGTCACCTGGTTTGCATACGGTGGCTCGGGCTTTGTGCTATCCCGAGCTGCGGTTGATACATTGGTGGCGCGGGAGGTTGGTGAATATGGGCAGTTTAGTGGACAATCACTCAGCGACCAGTATATGCAGGCTGTGAAAGATGACTGCTGCGGTGACTCTGTACTCGGGTTTGCGCTGTATGAAAAGGGGATTGAGTTGTTTGGGATGTGGCCGATGTTCAATGCGCACCCGCTGGACTCGATTCCCTTTGGTGATGATCATCACTGGTGCCAGCCTGCGATTAGTATGCATAAATCACAATTGGGTGATATGACCGGCCTGGCGGACTGGGAGGATAGGCGGGATAGAACGGTATGATTTCTTTTGCCGAATCTGCTGGTGCACATGCTAATTCATATTACAGAAGCCCTTACTTTACGCAGACTTGGTTGACTACTCTCGTCTAGGACAGTTGTCAGAGCGAAAAGGATGGGATAATGGAGCCTGGGGTGGAATAATCGAGCAACCTGATACTCTACCCCAACATGAATCATTAGAAGCCTGTCGTCAGGCATGCCATGACAGGGATTGGTGTATGTCTTACACTTATGACACCGCTGGAGCCTGTGTGTTTGTGCGGAGCTTGCGACTTGGAGCAAAGAGCAAGCTGGAAATTGCCGAGCGATTCACGGCTGGATGGGACAACGACAAGATCCAAAATTGGCGGGCGAACAACACGTGTGAAAAGCCCATGTGGATGAAGCCGAGTTTGACAAGAATTTTCTAGATTTGAGATGTGTACACGACTTTCAACGATTTACTATAAAACGTTAATGATATTTGATACCTGAACATACAACTCCTATAAATCCCAGAGCTACGAGCTGCAATCATGAAGCAGCATGACTTCGCTCTACATCCAGCATATACTGAACGAAGATCTACGAGAATGTATGATACACTTTCAAGGCGATTGTCGATTCATTTGCTCAACCATCTGGTTCAAGGAAACTAGTCAAACACATCAAAAAATCACAAAGCCATCCGTACGCCACCCAGGAATCATATATTTCGACACAAGCAACCCACACTTGGGAAAACAAACAATGCACCGGTGTGCCCTCAAGTATTAGACAAGCGAAAGGTAAAAGGTTCCCCTGAGCCATCAAGGAAGAGGATTAGAAGAAGAGAAAAAGCAAAGGGTAAAAAAATACAACAAGGGAAAAAGGGGGAACATCATAAAGCAGAACATCAACCTCGAAGCAGCCATAAATCGAAAGAAAGCATCTCATACGCCGAGTTGACACACCCTCAAAAAAAGGTCATTCCAGACCACCAAGTTAGTCCGTCCATTTTTGAGTCGTGAGGATCATTAACACCTGCCCATGCCAGAACAATCGGCGGAGCCTTAGCCGAAGGAACCCGCGAGGAAAAACAAACTCCTAGGAAGAAGAGATCAACCGCCGGGTCTAAGCAGTGAACTGTATTTCCTACATGCGGCGAAAAGCAAGATAGGTATCTTGAGATGAGAAACATAGCAAGTTATCTCATCGACGCATGCCCTGTGTAGGGATGCCACCGGGCTGCATACCCATGTTGGGCGGCATATTATACGCGTGGTGATCATATCCGGCTGACATGCCATTCATCATAAGGGGACCGAGCCCCTGGGCCTGAGAGACAGGACAATCCTTGTGTGCCAGCAATAGAGTCTTGAGGTTGACAATCTCCTCACGCAGCTGAGTCACTGTAGCAGTAAGGGCATCATTCTCTGAGGTGAAAAGCTCAACCTTGTTTTGAAGGTTAGCCAGCCACTGCTTCTTCCGTTGACGACATTTCAAAGCCGCGACACTGTAGCAAACGTTAGTATTCCAAGTTCCTGAATATACAAGGTTGGATCTCATTCATACCGATTCCGCTCTAGGAAATTGCGTCTTTTCTCCTCATCAGTCATCTTCTTGGTATCCATTGGGAATTGTTTCATATCATCGTCATCGTCCTCATCATCCATATCCGAGGGCATCTCCATGTTGGCTTTGGTCCTTTTGTTGGACCCCTTCGGGGCATCTTCGGCCTTGCGGCGGTTATTGGCAGCAGGGGCCTTGGGGGCGTTCTTTTTGCCCTTACCCTTAGCGGGTTTAGCGGGCTCGTGATCAGATGCATCCTCAGCACTAGTACCATTGGTGTTCTGGGAAACACGTCGGGTTGCAGCACGGGTATCATTTGGCATCTGGGCAGGGTTCATCGGCGCATTGTTTGCCTGGCCACCCTTTGCCAGCATGAACAGTCCGTTCGCCGCATCAGCCGCATCATGCTGAGTGAAGTCGGCGGGCCGGGCTGGTTTTACATCCATATTGGCAGCAGCCTGTTCCTGCTCGCTGGGGTTGGAGGTAGGAGCATTCGAGTTGTTCTTCTTTGCTGCAAGTGCGGTGCGATGGAAATCAATAGTGGAAGGAGTGGCACCGCCGTTCTGAAGTTGTTGCAGGAGAGCTTGTGAGTTGGGACTGGGGGCCGGGAACATAGAACCTCCACCACCAGGTGTCAGTCCCGTGCGGAGGGATGACTCGTTCGGGGTAGGGAAGCCGCGACCGATACTGTCGAAGTAGTCATTAGGGCCGGTGGGCCCAGGGAGCATAGCCGGACTAAGAGGCCCCGAGCGCAGGGAGTTGTTCCAATTGTAACCACTAGCAGAGGTTGTTCCAGGTAAGGCGGGTGAAGTGAGGGCAGCGACGGAGGGAAGAAGCGATTTGCCTGGGGTCTCGGCCGGATTCCCTCCGAACGATTGCTCAAATGGATTGGGCTCTAGCGAGAAAGGATTGTGCATGGAATTGAAGTAGTCGGGGGTATCAGACGCAGTAGGTGCACCCGGTCGTGGAGGCGGCGCCAACGAGGTCTGAGGCTCTACGTTAGATTTCTGGTCCTTCTGTGAAGACGCGGCCTGCGAGTCTGTCGGGGAGAGTTCGAGTTAGCAACGCGCCAAGAATTAATGCGATCGCAAATAGGTACCACTGCGGTTTTGGGATCGAGTCGGAGGCTTCATTGTGCGTGGAAGATTCATGTGTTGGTGGGGAGGAAATCAATGACGCCAGTGGGTGAAGTCATCGCGACGGCAAATGGACTGGGGGAATTAAGGATCGGGGAGCAGTGGCGTATTACCAAACCAAATAAGGGGACCTTTTGCTTTTCTGGAAGTATAATGCAGAACATGAAATAAGGGAGAAACATCGATATGGAAATATCACAGTGTAAAGCAAAAGTACTAGAAAAATGCGCAAATGTAAAGCGTGACACACGAACCTTCTTTTTCTTTCGAGTCCATGGGGGAAGACATGTTTGATCGAAGAGTCGATACAGCTGGGGCAACCGCAGCAGACATCGGGCTTATTCAAAGATAATGGATATAAAATGCTGCAAAGCCAAACAAACAATGGGCTTCTGGCAGAGTGAGAGTTGAGTGAGAGAGGAAGAGAGTGACGTAGGGGGAAGAGGGATATGATGAAATTTAGGGAATTGGGGGATTTTAGGCAGTTGAAGAAGAAGAAAAAAAGACAATTACGGTCAGGTACCGTATTTTTAAAAAATTGAACACCAAATTATGTGGGTATCCAACATATCCAACATACATAACGGTAACTGTCTTTCTTCGAATCAGGTTCGGCCTTCGTTCCCACCGGGGGGGCATGTTGTACTTTGTACTTTGTCCATGTACATAATATTCAATTGTTGCTATTGGTACTCCGTACTCTGCCAATCTTCGTATTTTGCCTGTTGTGTCTGAATGGGCTGACTACCCTCCTCCCCATCTCAGACATTCTATACCATAAAGAGACACCCTTACCTAGGATTTTGACCATAGGGTGGAGAATCGGTTGAATAGGTCAATCTTCATTTGTCGAGTTCGAGAGCGGAGTCAACCTGATCCAATATCACTGGCTCGAAAAGGACAAAAAGGAAATTGTACAATAATAAGTTGACCCTTCGCAATCCTTGCACTTACTGGTAGAGGAGTCGATGCTTGCATCTTTGATACGGGCAAGTTCCAAGGTTGGTCATCCAGTATTATTCATTATGTCACGGTGACGACAGAAATCTCTCCCGCTGTGGGTCATATATACTCTTTTGCCCAATCGAAGAAGATAATTTCCCAGTGCCAAGCCGAGGATTTCACCTAACCCAAAGAATGCGGTGAAAATGATGACGCAATCGATGGCACGTGAGGATTCTATCTTCTCTTCAAGGTTGCCACTGGAATTCTACAACTTGTAGATATGTTGATCTTTATATACGGAAATATAGTACATAATATATGTGTCAAGTGGGGGACTGGAAAAGGTTCTATATTGTATCTGACCAAGGTCTGTACAGAGCCTGTACGATCTGTTACGGCCCCCAACAGGGCATTATTAATCAACGGGGCAGTTCACGAGTGCCTCAATAGGTACTCCATACGCGTATGCATACGGAGTACAGAGTACACAAGATCGCGTCCAGCACTTTTTACGTTACATAACATTGTTATTCAGGGATGTATTGCCTCTTGACATTGTTGCAAAAGGCCAACCACGTGCTCCATACGCCATTTTGTATGAAGTAATTGGTATGTTATATCAATTAACTACTACTACTTAGTAGTAGTACTAGTAGTGTCTCGAGAGCGTGCAGTCCACCATAATCACTATGGGCGATTTCGCCGGGATTGAGTTGTGGAGAGTTCCAAGGTTTCCCCACAGTCTTGGTATCCTTCAACCTTGATTGTACATACAGAGTATAGGCATCACCTGTCGATTGTTAGACAGGTCTAACTGCAACTAACGAATCAGCTTGGACACGGTTCTCCACGAATCTTGAGGGCTTAATTCATATCGAGTAGTAGCCCAAAATATCTATCGAACCACTCAAAATTACCAGCATTGGGTGAAACATTCGACTATATTTAAACTCAATATAGTTATGCCAAAAGTTAATAGCAGCACAGTCAAGATAGTGTTACTTCTAGTATTACTTCACAGGCAGAAGGTTCCAAGAGCAGGTTGCTAAATCGAGTTCTGAGGGCATAACCAAGCACTACAATATTAACCCTTTTTTATCAATGAGGACTTACTCCGCCGTATAATTGGTAGATGATAAAAATATCAAAGTTTGACAAGATCTTCAGTGTATCCACAGTTCATCTGAAGGAGTCCAAGTACATAGTCTGCGTGCTGCTCCTCTTTCCGAGATCAAGTGAACTATGGATATTATTTAGCAGGAAGATGTTCTCCTCGCCTACCCGCGCACCCTACAGCCTACATATATCTAAAGCAACATAAAGCATAAAGCTTTGAGACAACAAACGAGCAATCAAAAACCATAGCTAAGATTCATGGTTCGGAATAACACCTTTGCAATAGAGATAGTCCATTGACATCCATCCACTAAGCCCTGGGAAGATTGTAATATTTACATCAAAAAGGAACCCTTGTTTGTACCGAGACTTCACGAACCCCGATAAGTCGAGTAATTCCAAGGACCCAGAAGGACAGGAACATGGTAGTGGCGCCAGCCCTCCTCACTCTCGTGGCCACGTCCCTTGACAGTGAACTTAACCTCAACCTCTGGCCAGAAGCTCTCGACGCCCTGGGCCTCATACCAGGGACCCACGTCAAAACGCACAGACCAGTTGGTCTTGCTGTCTGCAGCAGGCAGAGCAGCCAAGATAGCCGGGACTGATTCCGAGGCTGTTCCGACTGGTGTCCAGTTGGCGACGCGGCCGTCGGCGTTCGTAGTTGCGTGGAACGAGATGCCGCT